TTGATGGCCTGGTGTGTGACGAAATCTCAGCACCGATAGAGGAGGCTCGATATCAGTAGCAGTTCGCTCCGTTTTACTTTACGAGTGTGAAACATGGCCGGTAAGAGTAGAGGATATTCGTAGTCTACTAGTATTCGATCATAGATGTCTCCGAAGCACTGCTCGTATATCCTAGGACTACCTAGTAAGCAATACTATTGTCGAGAAAACGGGACTAGGTAAGCTGGCCGATCAATTGATAAAGTAACGAATGTTAATCATTTGAGATAGTTGGGACATGTGTTACGTATGCTTAACCACCAACTGTCTTGGCGAAAGGTGATGATTGATGTACAGGTAGGCTAGAAGAAAGCTAGGGGTGGCCAATCCAAAACATGGCTCAAATCCATGAAGTCAGTGACAGTTGGACTAAGCCATGATAGTAGGTGTAGACTACCTGGTTGAGGTCCACGAGACAATCGTAACCGATAGCTAGAGACTTAGAATGGCATGACTCAAAATCTTTTGTAATGGTGCAGATGCTTCTATTCTTTTTCTATTCTCAAATTCTAATCTTCTAAATTCATCACGACCTTTCTTTCTGTTTCTAAATTTATCTCACTGAATTATACTTGCTGAAAAATATCTCTGAATCCTTATCTTCTCTATTACCACTAATATTTTTACTACTTCTACTACAATAGGATTTGGGTTGACAGTTTCATTTCTTTGTGCTGATTTGAGACGACAACTTGAAATGATGTACTTATGTATGACGATCTGCGTTGTAGATGACTGTCTGACTATTAAATTATTATTGTAACTTGCGAAAATTTTAACTTTTGTAGACAATTTTTCAAATCCCTAATTGAATACATAATGAACTCCTATGCAGTTTACGTGTCCGACGGGTTGGTAAACTCATGACTAGTCTACAATACAGGTGATGCTTGAACTATCTGAAACAATATCGAAATCTCATCAGACACAAACCCAGTAAGTAGTATTGATGGGATATCCAAAATATGTAAACTGTTTTTCATGCATTCACTCTGTACGATCGATCTAGGCAAGAAAACAGATTCGTCTTGATGCAAAATTTTTCACTTAACGAAACTAAAACACATCTCAAATACGATTATACGACTATACTTTATCAATTTTCACCAGATAGAACTACGACAATGATGTATGTCAAATCGATAAGTAGATTTCGTTATAAAAGAAATCATTGTCTTAAACAGATCAGTAAAAAGTGAAGACCTTAGGCAAACTGATGACCATTGCTTTAAGTTGTCATCATAAACCCTAATTCAATTAAAAGTGTATGAGTATAGAACCTTCACAAGCTTTATGCACTTGTTCGACAAATCTTTAAGCGATGAACTTTATCTGAAAGCAACTCAGAGTTAAATGTCTCATCAAAGATCAAGAAATGTTATCATAGTCGAATATCAATAGATAGGAAGGACTATGAGTGTTTATGAACAAATCATCAGAATGGAAAAATCTAAGATTTTTATAATTTCTGACAAATGAACTTTTTGCCTAACATATTCATCTGTTTTGAGGTTAATACAATTTGGATTTGTGCATGTGATTTCACTGGAAAAGTTCTTAACGATTTCAATCAAATCGGCCATTGACGTGTTTGACATTTGAACAATGCAACACAAACATATATACAGACACACGGACAAGCACATGCACACACACATGCATACATTCATGTTGATTTATCTAACCTATTCTATTGAATGAAAGAATTAAACAAGGTTAGGGAATTATTGTTATTTCCCTTAAACCATTTTAATCATGGATGAATAGTTTGAATGACCAAAATATTCTTGTTCATACAAGTAGTGCTGAATTTAGACATGTTTCTTAACATGGACTAAATCAGATAATAATAATAATAATAATAATAATAATAATAATAATAATAATAATAATGGCTTTTTCAATATTAGGTTTTGAATCATGAGTCGACCAATGTTAGACCACCCCATTAGAAACCTGGAAGTATTGGATGGTCGTTTTGTCCTGGTATGGGACTCATTAGCGTCAGTGCACATCCACAACTCACAACTCCTGCACTTCACAGGATTCGGATACAGAAGCTTCGGTCTGGCGCGCGAATTTCCGACCTCTTGACAACTGAGACGGTATCTAATGGTGTAAAATGTCTAACTTTGATCAATTCACGGTCTTGCTCAAACTTATACCCCGTCTCCGATAATTACTGTTTATACCTGAACAGGTTAAACTTCACTGGTCACGACATCTCACTAGAACTCGGAGAAAATTCCTCACGGATCTAGTCACTAATGAGCACAGGTGATTTGCATAACTGGGTTGTAAAGAGTGTTGAGTTACAGATTTGAAATCATGAATAGATCGAAGTTAGACCACCATTAGAAACCTTGATGCTCATCGCCACCGATGAGTCCCATATTAGGACGAAATAGCCTTCATTCAGTGTTTCCAGGTTTCTTATGTTTGTCTAACATCGATCGATTTTATGATTTCAAATATGTAAATTAACATCTTGTCATCGTTCTTTTGCTTGTCAGCGAATTGCCCAGCCATGAAGATGTTTTGAATCATACATCTTTGTACTTTATAAGGAGATAGATTAGAAAAGTTTTTAAATATGCGCGCGTGATTAATTGATGCAATTAATCAAAATAATTGACGTGTTAAAATGGAACATAGAGAAGTAATTTGATGTTAAAGAATAAAAATAGATAGTTCAAATATTTAAACAAACCTCCAGATGTAAAGAATTCATACGATTTAAATCAATGAAATATTACCAGAAATAATCGAAGATACATTTGTTCTTACAATAAACTCTGGTCAAAAAATTTATGTTAGTATCTGAATCTTTTAAATTACGTAATAGTCTGCAGAAATAAAACGATCAATACAAATTAAAAGTTTGTTGATTTATAAATATGAAAACCAAATTGTAAGAATTAGTCTAGTTGTATAACAATTTACTTACTTATGCCTCTTTCTTCCCCCTCCACCTCAATGGAGCATGTGCCTCTGACCAGCATTCTGTAACCTCCTCTGTCCTGTGCCTTCCTTTCCAACTGTCGTGCATTCTTTACAACGTCTGCTTCAAATTCTTCTAGTCCTTTGGTTTTCCTCTTTTCTTTCGGCTCCACGGATTCCAAGTGAGGGCTTGTCTTGCGATGCAATCGAGTGCTTTCCTCAAACTGTGTCCTATCCACCTCCAACGCTTTTCCATGGTTTCTTCATCTGGTGCAATCTTGTTTGTTCCCTCCCACAGTAGGTTGTTGCTGATAATGTCTGGACAAAGAAACCCCAGTATCTTGCGTACACAACTGTTAATAAACATCGGTATCTGTCGGAAAATGGCTTCCGTGGTACTTCCAGTTTCCGCCCCATACAGTAGAACTTTATTGACATTTTTGTAGTGAAAATTGTGACGTTGGTGTTTGTCGATAGTTAGTTTGTAGTTTCAGATGATTTACAGTCGTAGAAATCATCAATCAATCATTGCTGGACCTCTGTTAGAATCTTAGAATCACTAGACCGCCCAGTGGTCTAAAGGTTAGGCGTCCTCGCACAATACTGAAGGTCCTGGGTTCGAATTCTGTGAGGTGCAGGAGTCGTGGATGGGCACTGTTGATGCGTCCCATACCAAAACGAAAAGGCCATCCAGTGTTCCCAGGTTTCTAATGGTGGTCTAACAATGATCGATTGATGATTTCAATGTATAAAAACACTGGTCTCCATAACTCTAACTGAATAATTGATCCAACTAAATCAGTATTAGGTTTATTATTACAAACGGGGTTCGCCTGAACCTGATAAGCGGAAATTGAAGGGAAGATTTATTTCATGGCATATTCAATCATTCGTTGAGAATTGAAATTATAAGTTCTACTCCGAAATGAACACAGCAACTAAAGTGTCTTATGTTGTGACTTATTCTGTACGTTGATGGATATCAACTTGTTGAATCCATTGAACCTAATTCGGATAATAATTCGTTTATCAATCAGATGTTGTTACTTCATCCACAGCTTAACATCCTTAGCCTTGACTAATTTGTACGTTTTGAGCTGAATATTAACCTTATCGAATTACT